CTACTCCACTAACGAGTCTAGGGAGTTGCCTATGCCTACTCCCTAACCCTAACCTTAACCCTAACCATATCAAATAGTTACCAGGGTACGTTCCGGCAGTACCCTGGAGGACATAGACCCTATGAGCGCTACTTAGATGCCAGTACTGTTAGTACAGTTTTTTACTAGACAACACTGGCTAATAAAATCAGTTGTCAAGCTATATTTGCCCACATGAACTATGCTCACATGATGTTGGCCTTATGGACAGCTGTGACCATACTCCTGTTGTTCGACTCTGCAAACTTGAAGGCAAACTCAGCTACACGTCTTGAGGCTGTCTCAGTGATTAGTTTGATGCTCTGCACAACGCCATCAACAATCTGCAACATACAAAATTATTGTAGCATGATTGTGACCTTCCTAGTATGATAGACGATATAGAGAAGAATAGATAATAAACTAGGAAGTTTCTAGCTAGATTTTACATACTTTCTAGTACTCTATTCACATAGGAGTATACTCTAGATACTACTATCATGTAACATCAGCATTCCCTCAGGTTTGCACATGTGCTGCACAGGCTGGCTTGACCTGAAAATGTGACCCCACTAGACCTCCACACAGAGGCTGCATATACTTATTTATAGACTCAACAGATGTCCAAGCACACACATGCATTGGCAGCTCCCATGAACATGGCTTCAAATAGTGCATTTTAGTTCCATAACTAACTAGTTGCAAGCAGATTTATGAAAGATACCATTAAAATTATAAATTAGAGATGGTCAGAATGAACGTCCATGCCGGTTTTACCCTGACCTGTGGAAATCTTAATGAACACCTGGTAACCATGCTCAATTTCTATCTTTTAAGACAAGCTCATTTAAACAAGAGCCGCAGAGCGTCTGGGCTCATCTGGGGTCTGTTGCTACGGTTATAAACGTAAAATTTCAGTCGTGCGTAATGACACATTTGTTAGGCGCAGATATGCAGATACGCAGTTGCGTACACTGCATGTAGATTTCTCTCTTTCTCGAGGCTGTAGCGCTGCCGGACGAGGCTGTGCGACTGATTGACTATACAGATGTCTGATTGTCTATCAGACTGATTGTCTATCAGACTGATTGTCTGATGGTCTTCTAACCCTAGCAAGACCGTTTCGTTGAGCTAGCAAGGCGGTAACGTTTTTATATAACTTCACATAAATGTTTATACTATATATGTTAATTCGGGTGGCACTCCGGCAGCCCAGTTTATACTATGTTAACTCGGGTTTCCCAGCAGCGGCCAGCGATGGTAGAAAATTATGAAAAATTGCTCTAAAAAGCTGCTTGTCCGGCGGACAAGCTACCGGACAGATCTACTTGTCCTCCGTGGAAATGGACAAGTACGGACAAACGGATAGCCCTTATTTCGAACACTGGGATGGCCTGATGGTATCAGGAATCTTCTCAAAGAAATGTTCGTTGGGATCGTTATGAAAGTTGCCACGAGATGGCGCGTACATTCGAGTGTCTTAAGATTAAAGATGAAAGCTCCCATCGTACGTAATATAGCAACAACTATTTGCAAGACAGAATAGGTAAGCACTCATCCATTTACCAACGCAAGCCTACAGGCTGAAATAGAGAGCTGCCACCTGTAACTAATTAATGCAGGCAAAAACTACACCGTACTATCACCACCACATGCACTGGCAGTGGCCACTGGCAGTGGTATAATTAAGTTACATGTAACACACTGACAGTACAGAATGCCATAGAAATTATACGATTTAAGGAGCATAAACCTTCTTCAACGCAAATTTAGCTTTTGAAATTTCACATGTGACATTGTACGCCCGTCATAACTCCAGCGCACTGTCATAGATTCTACATAGCCAAACCCAGGCAGTCATAATTCTTCTAACAAGTAAACAGATGCCAAGTGTAATTAAACCCTCTCCATGTTGAAGGTCAAAAGGTTAATACACACCTCACCTTTGCATCGACCACCTCAGCAGAAAGTATAAGCATTTCATGAGGTCTTTCACATAAAAGCCATAAAATGGTAGGTCACCCCGCCTGAAACAAAAAAGTAATTTTCAATCGCCATCCGTCAGACGCATGTCCTCAGAAAAATGTCTAAAAAGTCTGCCTCTGTGCCCCCATTGACTTATCTGACCTTGTGACTTCCACAATTTTGCTGGCACCACGTGATCGGCCTTTTCCCTAACCATGATGCTATACAGCCGACTAATCAACGAGCCTAGTGGAGCCGTTTAGATTTGTGGCGCGCAATTCTGTCATTACCGCTCCCTAATACCATAGTTAAGGAGGGAATGTTCCCACCTTCGATTTTTACACCTACGTTTGAACCTTTGAACCTTTGACCCCCCCAGCTTCCGTTTCGGATTCCCCCCCAGTGCAGGGCCGACGCCCGGGGCCCTCAACATTAGTTTTATGATGGTGGCATTTGACCCAGAACACGTCGCGTAACCGTTCCGACTTTGCGAATCCAATGGACGTACGAGTCGTTAGATTTGTGGCACGAACTGTTGACGCAGACGGCACGCACAGACCACGCACGGAAGATCATGCGATTCTACAAGCTGCATCTGACTATGTCAGATGAGCTAAAAATGAAGATAACACATTATTAAGCATTTATACATATCACATTTAAAAAAATATGTTAATTGCCTTTTATTACTTGATTGGGGAATATATAGGTTGAGGCAAGGTGGAAGGTTAAGGTGGAAAAAGCAAACTGCCTTAGCAGAATACATGTTCAACTTCTAAACTACAGATACAGAATAAATAATTCTTCAATATGATTTAAATTTCCTACGACAACTTACAATGTGCTCAATGCCACTGTATTCGCCTTCAGTGTTTTCACGTATAGTCACCAAGTCAACATTGTCATAGGGAGTCTTGTATCCTTCAATGGACCGACATGGCCTCACATTTGCATATAGGTTGAAGGTCCTGCACATACAAAAATTTATTATCTACTAACTAAATTTGTTTTTATCTAAAATATTGACCAATTACATTTCAAAAGATTTCTTTTTTGTGCAATCATGCAGGAGATGTTCTCCTATTGAACTCACTTTCGAAGTGCTAGATTTAGTGACTGGTGACCCTTGCCAATGGGTGTTGCCAATGGTCCTTTTAGACCAATCTTATTCTTGTTTACAGACTCTATGGCTTTCTGTGGAATGACCATCCGTCCATCTGGTGCCTTGACTGGAGTGACATCTACTGGCTCCCATGCAATCGGAACCTGTATATATACAATACCAATACTATTATACCATCACAATATTACTACGTTTGCATTCTGCTAAGCCTTGCTAATATCGTTTTTGTAATGCTGGACTATGGTGACAAGGAGTTCAAATCACTCCTGAACACAGATGAATGACAAGCTATAATTTGCTACCATGATAAATAAGTGTGAACATCAGGAAAATCACTTGTGCATAAAATTCAACAAGTCTAAAGCTCTATTGATAGAAAATATTAGTTACAAAAGTATACCTTTGCAGCTTCAAAGATTTGCTTAACAGCTTCAGAGATTTCTGGTCCAATGCCATCACCAGGGATAAGTGTGACAGTGCGCAACTCTTGCGAATAGTTACGAAGTCCTAAGTGTGTTCGTCTCAGCCCCTTGCCCTAATTGAAATACGTATCAGCGCAAGTTATTAGTGATGACAATTTACCTACAAACAGCAGCATGATTGACAGGCGGCTCTAGCCAATCAGCATTGTGAGATGACATTGAAAAACAATGCTTTGTAACAATGCCCAGTAAAGTCAACATTTGACGAGCAGATGCATAAGCACTGTCACTCTCAATAACCTCATAAATAATAGTATTTACAAGTCCAAGGGAATATAACAAAGATGGAGAGACAAGTTGTTCCAATCGACAGATCAACACTGCGGATTGCAGTGGAAAAAGCAGCATATTTGCAATTTACTATAGACAAAGGGAGAGAATTCTAATACGGAATGACAAAAACAGAAAAAGCTAAACTTAAAGGGATCCTTAGAAGCTGGCACAGGTCGAAATAAATGATCAAATTCTTACAAATATTTGGGTGTTATTATTAGTAGCGATCATCGCTGGAATGCCCACATTGATTAGATTTGTAAGAAAGCATCTCGTTCCTTTGATATGTTACAGTGTAACCTTAGCTTTGCCAATTCTAAAACTCAGTCCCTGGCTTTTCTATGGTTCTGCCCATATTAGAATATATGCTTTGCCAGGCTGGTGCCCCTGCTATACTCTAAAATCTGCCCTGTGCCCCATTGACCTTTGACCTCCAATTTCGGCACAGTGATGGCTTTTCCTACCATGATGCTGTACACCGACTATCACGAGCCTAGGTCGAGCCGTTTAGATTTGTGCCACAATTCTGCATTTCCTCCCTATACCTTAAGTTAAGGAGGGAATGTTCCCCCTTCATTTACACCTCTTGACTTTTGACCTTTGACCCCCCAGCTTTGACATCCCAACTCGTTTTGACGATCCCCCCCGACGTCCCGAATATCGTGACCGTACGTCAAGCGGTTAAGATTTGTGCCAAACTGTTGACGCACGGACGGACGGACAGACGGACGGACGGACGCACGACCGGACGGACGCACGCTCATGCGATTCTACAAGCTGCATCTGACTATGTCAGATGAGCTAATAATATTATATCAATATAATAGGTTAGGGTTAGGGTTAGGGTTAGGGTTAGGGTTAGGATTAGGGTTTGGGTTAGGGTTAGGCACATTGGTTTTATTGGGACCCATGTTCTCTATCCTTGGGCCGATGATTCAGTGCTACGATGCGAACAGGCTTCATCAACTTCAAGCGCTACGACAGTAGTATAGACAGTAGTATAGACGTCGTTTATATCAATATAATAGGTTAGGGTTATGGTTAGGGTTATGGTTAGGGTTAGGATTAGGGTTTGGGTTAGGGTTAGGATTAGGGTTTGGGTTAGGGTTAGGATTAGGGTTTGGGTTAGGGTTAGGCACATTGGTTTTATTGGGACCCATGTTCTCTATCCTTGGGCCGATGATTCAGTGCTACGATGCGAACTAGCTTCATCAACTTCAAGCAAGCGGCTTCATTGTCACTATCTATTAGTATTATACATTAATTAGAAGCCCTATAATATCGCGTTGACATAATAAAAGATAAAATACTGCACACGGTCAACTAGCACAATAATTGGTAAACGCAAGTAGATAGATGCAAGTAGAGTACTGTATATATAGTGACTGTTAGTGTATTACCAAATGCTGCAAGATTTTCGACGCCATCTTTCTGATAACAAAAAGTGACGTCACATGATGACGATGCCGGTTGGTCAGCGTACTCAGAAAACTTATAATTATTTTTACCGCGGTAAAATTATATCCCTTTTTAGCTAATCATAAGCCTTGCTACACATTGTAAGCAGTTAATTTTTTCCGCGGTAGAAACATAAATAAACCGCATAAAAATTATTTTTACCGCAGTTAAATTATCACTTTTTACCCAGCCAAAATCCGTGCTACATATCACAATGTCTATCGCATATAAACACAATGAAGCAGATAATTAAGCCACCATATATCGCCGGTCAAGAGAATTGCCAAAATTAGCTCATGAAATAGTCATGAAATAGTGAAATTCTAAGTAACTTCCCTTCTTAATACGCTCTTGATATAATATTATATTAATAATAATATACGTCGTATATCGCTATCAGCATTTACCATTTAGATCAAACGTTAGCACAAAAACGTTATTATGAACTAGGTAATGTTATGGTTCAGATGCACACACACACGCGCGCGCACGCACGCACTCACTCATGATCATGCGCATACACGCACGCATGCATCCACGCACACGAGCATACAGGCACACGCACGCTCACGCACACACACGCACACGCGCACGAATACACGCACGCGTGCATACACGCATGCATGCACGCACATGCATACACGTGCACACGCCTGCCTAGGCAGGCCTACACACACACACGCACGTGTGTACACACGCATGGATAAACGCACACAAGCATGCACGCACGCGCACACGCGCACACACATGCATGCAATACATGCACGCACGCGCACACGCGCACACACATGCATGCAATACATGCACGCACGCG